TGTCATCTGAACTTAACTTTAAAATCTGGTAAAAAATAAAAATGTTTTACAGAATTTGGAAAAATAAATTTAAATGTTGTAAAACTGAGATTGGAAAATCAAAATTAGACAAATTAAATTAACATTATGCACATTTTATAAATAAATCTAAATAAATGAAAATGAACAGTGTATGGTTTTTACTTTGTAATATGAAAATAGGAATATGGTGCAAATCCAAATAAACCGTGCACAGTGTATACTCAAGTTTATGAAATTATGCAAATGTCATAACATGTGTTATAATACTTCAATTCAAAGAAACCACATGTAATCTTTATCTGTGTGGTGAAGAATGTATTAACTGTAATACGTATTATGTCCGCTAGGGGAGCTATTCTATTTGTAACTCCTCTCAAATGTATCAACTAGTACTTCCGGTTCATAAACCTACTTCCTGTTTATTTCCTCAAAATATAAAGTTCAAATTACTTTCTTTGAAAAGCATGAAAAACAAAACAACTCAATCTACTCTCAACGTTCATCTACACCATCCCTGTGTATTTAATCAGTAGTTACCGGTTGTATCTTTACTCAAAGTATTTCACCATCTAGTAATGCTAACTGGCTAGCTAACTAGTTTAGCAGTATAGCATTAACCTCATGTGACTGGGGGAAGGGGAACAATGGGAACACTCAACATCTGCAGATAAAAAAAACCACACTGCTTGACAATACAAAACAACACAATCTTCATTTATCTTAGCTCTAAATTATATAGATGCTGACCTTAAAAGCCGATCTCATACCAATATTGTACACAATCGTTTCGGCTTAGAACATCACACAAAAATATACTTGTTGGCTTAAAAACTCCACACAATATACGTTATTAAACCAGACTACGCAGGTTTAACACATCAAACATATAGACTAACATGAATGGACCCACTCCAGTGTAAAACAGATCAGGTCTGGTACCTACCCAGAGGTATTTAACACAATGTGGACCCAGTCCTATCCCAGATAAAATCTAGTGCCTCCCCAGAAGGTCTTAATACTATGTAATATTCACATTAATCGGGCGGCGCCGAAGATACAACAGAGACGAATAGAAACACTATATACAATCTCCACACCACTCGCAATCACCACGGAATTAAACAGGTAACTGTCTCAACTTTCGTTTAGGCCCAGCCAAAAACTCATTTTCTGCAGGCTAGTGTGATGCTAGTTAGCTTGCAGCCTTCCCCTCTTTTCCAGCTCTATCCCGCTTCAGAGTTCACCCAGGGACGCCATGTTAGTGTATTCTAGAACCCCGAAGGCAGGAGAGACTGAAAAGAGTCAAGGGAAGCTTATAAAAGTTAACAGCATTTAATTACACAAAAGATGCGGTGGTGTACAAATGAAATGTGCGAGTGGAGGCGCTCTCCCTCATCCGACCGGTCAGTCCAGGTCAGCAGGTAGAAGAGGTCAATTCTTGGCTTGCTCTTCTTGTTGTCATCTGAGGTCTTCTCCTATTGGCCGGCGTCGTCGGGGGCGGCGATTCCTGCCTTTTTCTGTTAAATTATATCATTCTGGTGTTTGTGGTTATTTAAACATTTCCTAATAAACGTTATTCAGCGGTAATAAATTAGTGCTAATCCCAGTGTGCTCAGTGTACAACATCACATGTCATTTCACCTTTGATTCACGCTTTGAAAATGCAGCATTTCGCCACATGCTAATGATAACCGGAAGTGAATAATTTTCAGAATAAAAGTATTAAGTTAATAGTTAGTGAACTTCCGGTTTTTCAGAATAAAACTGATTTAAATTAAATAGTGTATTGAATTCAAATTACGCCATACCAACATACCATACCAAGTACTCAGATCTTGTACTTGTGTATAAGTAGAAGGCTTTAACTGCACGTTTTATTACTGATCAACATTACACAAATGTATATTGAGGATATATAAATATTGCTATGTTACTCTGACTCGTGTTTCCTGCATTAGTGTTCCTCTCTAGTGGCCACAGCCTGACACCTGCTGGTCAGCCTGTGGAACTGCACTGGTCTATTTGTTTTTATACTTTTGTATGCACTTTTAATGCTGCTGTCAGTGAATGATGGTTAGAGTCAGTAATAATCCTTACTTACTTTTGATACCCAATAAAGAAAGTTTAAAAAAAAGAGTCAGTAATAATGCAGTCAGATTTCAAATCAGGAAGAGGGTTTACTAAAAAGGAAGCACCACTAAACACAGTTCCTGTTTCTGCCGGAGAGGACGGGGGTTTGTTTGTCCCAGCGCCATATTATATGGCTCTGGTTTGTCCCTCAGCGTAAAGAAGGATCTTCATTCAGTTGAGGGACTGCAGACGGAGGTCATGGAGGAGGGGAGTGTGTGGGTTGTTTTGAAATAGGTCAGACACACACTTGCTGCACTCGTCTACTCTTCCTCCTCTCAGGCGTTCCTCCTCTCGGCCGTTCCTCCTCGGCTCCCCAGACTCTAGTTTCAGCTCTAGGTTTCCTGAAAACTGCTTTTAAATCTGAGTAGAGAGACAGTACAATCAGACAGACGCTGTGTGAAGGAATCCCCCCGCAGCAGCAGACCACACATGCTGCAGGACAGGCTTTAGAAGAGAAAGAAATACTTCATTGTTTACTTTCCACATGCAAAGGGCAGTAGTGGTCATATTAACAATGTGCTACAAAAAGGTTCAATAAAACACATCATATCAAAATCATATTTACATACCATAGAAGCTATAATAAAGGAGCAAGGAGACACCAAAGGCAGAGCTATCCGATAAACTCAAACAACCGGGTCAAGTTGTTTGTTAATAATCCTGGACTCATTTACTTTTGATGGAATGGACCCTCACTCTTTGTGAGAGAAAAATATGTTATCTGTTCTAAATCAACACCATTACATTCATTCTGTGTTTGCATTACTCATCTCTGGAGTAAATATAATTAAAAAGTAGGAGAGTTAGTGCAACTTAGCACTCTAACATTAGCCTTCCCCTGCCAGTTATTTTGTATTCCAATACATCAGCTAAATGCACTTAAAAAAAAGTAGGGCATTCACTGAAAATGAAACACAAGGGGTCTCTCAGGAATTAAGGTGTTTTCGAAATGTTGTAAAATTGTTGGGCTTTTTAAAACTTTTGGTATAATTTCATATCATTAAGAAAACCAATTAATACTGGGGATGTTTTAAGAAAGCGACATTTCAGTTTGAAATAAATTGCTAATTCCAAACTCTGTTTTTTTGTTTTCAAATTGAAGGCTGAATGTTATATTGTCATGTTTTGGGACTGGGCTGTTTGGTTCATTATAAGTTAACCAACGCTGGAAAGCATCCCAAAATGTTTGAACTACAATGCAAGAAAATAAAAGATGTTCTTATGTTTTAATATCCGAGCATTCCTTCTGACCAGCACTAAAACGTATTAAAATATTAGCTGCAAAAGTCTATTTTTTATTATAATTGTAATTCAATTTCATAATGTTTGTGTAATGTAAGTATGTATTTTATCTGAACTAAATCAACACCATTTACAGAATTCAGTTTTTAAAGGTTTGTAATGTGATCTTGTGTAAAATAAATATATTTTGATCAACACCTCCCCCCTGATTGGTCGAGGACTCCAGAGCTTATCTAAGTGTCTCCTCTTCTATAACCCAGAACAGTTTGCATAATTATAATGTATATTAAATCCACCGCCATTCTGTGTCTGTAGTATATTTCTATTCCTGTAGCCTAGTGAGACAGTAATGTAGAGTAGAGTACTCGTTATATTGTGTATTATTTAGATCAGGGGTGTCCAAACACCATAAAAGAAAAACCTACCAAGAGCTGAGCCTCTCACTAGAGGTGAGGTATACAGCCTCAAAAGTTACGTTATAAGTTAGCAAAATCTATCAAAAGTAGGTAAATTATTCTTGATACTAGAATATGCTTCAAGAAACAAACAGCCTTCATCTCAGCTCTCCAGAGGGTTTACTTTATTTAGTGTTTTCAGCTCATTCCTTAAAACAGAAGCCTCAGATTACTTACAGTATAAGGGGAAATATGACGGGTCTATTTCAGGCTTGTTCAAGTTATTGGGATTTTTTTGAAAACTAAGATTTGTTAGAACATGTTTTAATTGACTGAATTTATTTAAATAGTGTGCTTATTAACACGTGAATTCTACTGGGTAATATATGTTTAGAAAGAACCCTTATCATGTTTAAAACAAAGATAAATAGTTCCATGATAACTTATCCCTTTAGATGCATGTGTTGATGCAAACTGCTTGGCTGTGTTTTCAGAAGAAGTGTCATGCTACAAACAAATGTATTTACCTGATGTTCCTTAAAGTACCTCTCTAAAGCTGTGATTGGTTGTCCAAACCAATTAAAAAGTGCAGCTATTATTGAGATAATTAATGAGTTTAAGGTATTTTCTGGATATAAAGGCCAATAATGGAAAATCCTTAAAGTTACCACGATTTAAAACGCTCAGATTTAGCACACCTTCATTTCCAGTTTGCTTTTAATGGGTTCAGGCTTTATTTATTCTTTTCAATTACATTTTTATTTAGATCCAGTGGTGACTAATACTGTGATTTCTAATAAGATAGACCAGTGCTTCTCAAAGTGTGATCCGCGGACCACTGGTGGTCCGTGAGCGCCCCCTAGTGGTCCATGAGTATATTGGTAACATTTCACATTTTAAATAAATAAATAAATGTAAGCTATCCGCACTCTCGCGGGAATATCTCCCAAATGGAGCGAGCTTTAAGTTTCACTTTCGATTGCATGATATAGCCCAGTGCAACACCTTCATCACATGTTGCCACTTGTTTGTACCATTTTCAGGCGATTTGTAATCTGTTCCAGAAAAACGATGTGTTTTGGAGTTAGGTGGTCCGCGAGTGTTTTTTTATTGGTTAAGTGTCCTTGTGAAAGAGTTTGAGAAACACTGAGATAGACCCTTAACACCCTCTTTTAATCTTAGATAAACAACAAAAGAACATAACACTCAATGTGAACTCAACAGTCTTTTATTAATGCACATGATTAATCACCTGATGTTTGTCTTTACACATTTACACATTAATTTGTGTTCCAACCTTTTCATATTTGATTTCAAAATTCATTACACATAAAGATTTGAACGTTTTGATTTGTTCTTGTAAAAGCAATAGCAATAAAAGATCAAATCAGAGATCTTGGTTCTGGACAATTTGTGACATTTGTTTAATATTTGGTCAAAACACACAATCCTTGAAATAACTGATATAACTATAAATCACACCAAACATACATCAGAAAGGGGACTGAAGATGAGCAAGGAGGTTTGGTAAATCTGCTGCAGTCCAGCATCAGAAGGTCAGACTCTCTCTAATACTAAACATCTCAGTTGTTAGGTATTATCTAAAAAAGGAATCTAGGAAATTGTACATTTAAATTTGTTTTTCTCAGCTTCCTCTCTGGCCCTCCTTTCCTCCTCTTCTCTTATTCTCCTCTTTTCCTCCTCCATTTCTCTTCTGTTAGATTCTCTCAGCTTGTCATCCTCTTCTCTCATACTCTTCCTCTCCTCCGCTATTTCTCTTCTGTTAGCTTCTCTCTGCTTTTCCTCCTCTTGTCTTTTTCTCATCCTCTCCTCCTCTATTGCTCTTTTGTTAGCTTCTCTCAGCTTGTCATCCTCTTCTCTCATACTCCTCCTGTCCGTCTCCATTTCTCTTCTGTTAGCTTCTCTCAGATTTTCATCTTCTTTCATTCTCTTCCTCTCCTCCTCCGTTTCTCTTTTGTTACATTTTCTCAGCTTTTCCTCATCTTCTCTCATTCTCTTCCTGTCCTCCTCCATTTCTCTTTTGCGATCTGCGTTTAGCCTTTCCTCCTCTTCTCTCATTCTCCTCCTGTCCTCCTCCATTTCTATTTTGCGATCTGCTTTTAGCCTTTGCTCCTCTTCTCTTATTCTCTTCATGTCCTCCTCCATTTTTCTTTCATGAGCTTCTATCCGCTTTTCTAACTTCTCCCCATCCTCTTTGATTTTCTTAAATTGGTCCTCGTACTTTTTCTCTATTTTCTTTTCCATTTCCTCTTCCTTTTTGCGTATTTCCTCTTCTTTCTCTTTAAGGATTCTCTGTTTTTCCTCTTCTATGGCCCTCTCTGCCGCCTGGAACATGTCATTGGTGTAATGGCTTCCTCCGTTCTTCTCTGCTATGTTTCTGATCTTGTTGAGCAGCTCTCTGACCTGAGAACGATCATTCTCCTTATTATTGAAGATGTGGTACTGGCCGTTACATCTGTTCACAAGTTCCATCAGATCTTTGCTTTCCATCAAGAACTCTTCAATAGTTTGGTCTTCGAGCTGGTCACCGTGAGTAAAGAGAACCATGCTGTATTTGTCTGCATCTTCTCCAAAGAGTTCCTGAATCTTCTTCACTGTCTGCTTTTCTTCATCGGTGAATCTGCCCAGTCTGATGACGACCAGGAAGACATGGGGTCCAGGAGAAGCAAATGTAATGCTCTTACCAACATCGTTTTTGGTCTTCTCTTCATCAACCTTGGTGTCAAACAGACCAGGAGTGTCAATAACCTTAACTCGTTGTCCATCAACTTCACCAAAGGCATTAGAACAATCTTGAGTCATGGATTTAGAAGAGAACTTTGATTTAAAGTGCTTTCCCCCCAGAATGGTGTTTCCTGTGGCGCTCTTCCCAACTCCGGTCTTCCCCACCAACACAATCCGGTGCTCAGCGTCATTGTATGTGTTTGATTCTGATCTGAGACCTGAAAACAATTAAGAAATATTTAGCAATCTCTGTATTTATAAAATGGTTCAACTACCACATGAACAATGTTGACAGTGAGGGGGGTGGGCTCAAGGTGGTTTAATAATCTAGAACATCTCTAGAAGCTATGTCATTCAATTGATATTTTTCATTTATTCCTGTAGATGCTATTGTCAATATAGAAAGCATTTATTAGGTGAATGGCAGGTTTGGTGATAAAGGTACAATGTACAGTTTTCCCCCAAAAAATGTAACAGTTTTTTATTGTATTTCATAATTACAGGAAATCATTTTAAAATGACAAGAATAAACGGTTTACTGAAATGTGTGATGTATTTTAACAAGAAAAAACTGCAGAAATGGAATACATTATTTCTCTGTTTTATAGCAGTTTTTAAATGCGAATTTAACAAAACTAATCGTAAAAATAAATGATTTTCTGTTAGCAAAATTAGTTGCATTTTCTGTAATTGTACTAAAAAATACTTTTGTTATGGCTATATATCACTGTCAAATACATACAAAATACTGTTAATACTCATTTAAAAATGTATAATTGCAAGAAAATATATGTGAAAAGAAAGAAATATGTTGTAATTGTGTTTAATTTAACCACTATTTTACATTGATAAACTGGAAAAACACAGGTATTGACTATCCTATTATAGTAAAAAAAACTACATTTTAACACATTTTGACTTTGACCATAGAGTTAAAGACACAAGAAAACCGGACTGTTGGGTGCGAATTCCTACCAGAGCACAATACAGATATAAAATGATGTTATAACCCACAAGTAACAGACTGTGGGTTGTATAGGATAACTTTTTCTATGCCATCATAAATCTATAAACTAGCTAAATAAAATAGCTGTCAGCATTCACTGCAGTCAAACCTAATGTGACCATTCATTTGTGATTTCTAAGTAGAAGAAGAAGATATACTTTATTATTCCCTCAGAGGGAAATGTCTTCCCCCACTCTGTTGTGTTTAAACACATTGCACACACAGGGATGATATACAAGCACTAACAGACAGTTTGGTGCGTTCACAACCCAAGTAACATTGACCTCCTGATGTCTTTCAACACAAAAAAGGAGGAAAGTAGCTTTTAGAAATGTATCAATGGACTCAAATGTGTGACTTTAAAGGTCCTATGTCATGGCCATTTCTACTGATCATAATTCCATAATTGAGGTCTACTAGAATAGATTTACATTGTTCAATGTTCCAAAATGACATTGGTTTCTCATACAGCATCTCTGTATAGTATGTGTATTCACTCTCTGTCCTAAACGTCGGGTTACATATTGTAACCCTTGTTATATTAGCACAGGCGGAGCCCTCTACTGGACTCTATGGGTACTACCTTATCATGCAAGCATTCACCTACTGAGATTTCTATGGACGTAGCCGGCCCCGGGGCGGGCCTACCTGAATGCGTGCGCATCTCACTTCCGCATAAAAGGAGGCCTTGCCTCCTGACCACCATCCTACACCACCCTTCAGCGAGCGGTATAGGACAGACAGTGCCCCAAGGTAGAGGGCTCCGCCTGTGCTAATATAACAAGGGTTACAATACGTAACCCGACGTTATATCTCACAGGCTCCGCCCTCTACTGGACTCTATGGGTACAGTGGGCGGACCATCCCGACGCACTGTCGTCCAGCACACCGTTCCACCTCACTGTCCCTGACCGGCTTTAGCAGCCACTGCGCCTCAATCACCTCTCCCTCGGTTGTAACCGTGGAGAAGTCTGGGCTGCGGCCGATAGAGCACACCCTGACGCGCTTGCCTCACGAAAAAGTGTGCTCGAAAAAAACAGTGCTGAGGGCTCCCCTGCGTCCACCTATAGGCAGACAGGGAAAAAACCCCAGCCCTGTATGGGTTCACTATGCACTCTCCCTCCTGAGTCCCTAAAGAGCACGGGGAGAATGCAAGTGCCCCCTATGTCCCCACACTTAACCACTGACCCTGTGCAGAGTGTGTAAGGACTATAGTATGGAGGGCTCTCCCCCTCCAGCCCCTGAAAGGGCCCAGAGCACCCCACGTCCCCCGCGACCCTCCAGGGTCCGGAGAAACGTAAGGGCATTTTACGCCCGGGGAGAGGGTCAGATGCCCACTGACCAACAGCCCCCCCCCCCCTCCTCGCCAGTCCTGTGTTGCCCCAGCAAGCACAGACGTTGAGAAAGAGCCAGACATATCCAAGAGATAACACTTTATGAAGGGGCCTGGTGTTGACCAAGCCGCCGTGCATATATCCTCCACACTCGCACCGTTGAATAAAGCTGTTGATGCAGCCACAGCTCGTGTGGAGTGCGCACGGACCCCCGTGGGACAGGCTCTCCCTGCCTGCTCATAGGCGTGTGCAATGCCTTCGCAAAGCCAGCCTGCCAGGCGTTTCTTAGACAGAGCTTTTCCAGTCACCCCGCCCCCGAAGCACACGAACAGCTGTTCAGTGCGTCTCAGGGTAGCTGTGCGCTCTACATAACATGCTAACGCGCGTACCGGGCAGAGGAGGTGTAATTTAGCTTCCCTGGCCCCACCATGGGGTGGAAGACTAAATCCCCCCAACTGAATAACCCTCGACCTGAACGCACTCCTTAGGTTCTTGGGCACAAAGGAGGGGTTCGGTCTGAGTGTCGCGCCGCTCCGGTAACCCCGAATCAGTAAACAGCTCGGGTGCACCGACAGAGCGGTTAACTCGGACACTCTTTTGGCTGACGTTAAGGCAAGTAGCAATGCTGTCTTCCACGACAGTGCTTTCAGGGAGGAGAGCTCCAGAGGCTCAAATGGTTCTGTGACCAAAGCCTCGAGCACCAGCGGCAGGTCCCACTGCGGGGTGGAGGCGTGCACTACTGGGCGCAGCCTCCTGACCCCCTGTAAAAACCGCAACATCAGTGGATGAGAAAAGGCTGACCTGCCGTTGAATCCCTCATGACAGGACGAGATGGCTGCTCCATACACTTTTATAGTAGAATGAGCTAGTCCTCTGTCCACCAGTAACGGTAAGAAGGACAAAATAGAGCCTAACTCACAAGATAGGGGCTCTATTTTCCGCTCCTCACACCATCGCTGGAATCCCAGCCACTTTGGCCTGTAACAGGCTGTGGTGGATCCCGCTCAAGGGCCTGGATAGACTGAATAACGCCATCAGACAATCCACCCTGTCTCAGCCTGTCCCTCTCAGGAGCCAAGCCTGGAGAGGACGGCTCAGAGTGGGTAACGCCCCGATTGCACCTGCCTCTTGAGACATCGCCCCCCAGAACTAGGGAATCGCCCAGGGCTGGCCCACCTTCATCTGCGTCATTTCTGAGTACCACGGAGCCCCGACGCGATCCGGTGCTACCAGTATGACTGTCAAACGTTTTCGCCTCACTCTCCCCAGGAGAGGGAGAATGAGACTCAACGGTGGAAAGACGTAGAGCAGCTTCCTTGGCCATGGCTCGTGTGCAAACGCGTCCACCCCCAAAGGCGGGTCGTCGCTCAGGGCCATGGAAAACCACAGGGCACAGTGGCCGTTGCGCCGGCTGGCGAACAGATCCACTTCCGCTCTCCCGAACTGGGCCCAGATCTGCTTCACCACCTCTGGGTGAAGCACCCACTGGCCTGGCAGGGGGCCGCTCCTCGACATGAGGTTGGCTCCCCTGTTCTCCAGTCCTGGGATATAGAGGGCTCTCAGAGATAACACCACCTCTGATGCCCACAACCACAGCCTCTCCGCTGTGGCCAACAAGGCGGCGGAGCGGACTCCGCCCTGCCTGTTGATATAAGCCACGGTGGGGCTGTTGTCGCTCCTGACCAATACGTGTCTCCCTTGAATTAGGGGCATGAAATGCTGGAGGACTAACACTACCGCCCGTAGCTCTAGGAGGTTGCTGTGTCGTGTTTCCGTTAGAGACCAGCTCCCACCTATAGCCCTCTTCAGGCAGGTCCCTCCCCATCATGTTCCTGTGAACACTGTGATGTAGGAGGTTACCTGTCCCAGTGGAGACCCCCTCCGGAGGCGCCCGGGAGACCCCAGAACTGGAGGTTGCCCTCCACTGAGGGGGGGGGGGGGGGGGTGGTCACCAGCCGCTGTTTGTGCCTCTTGGGATCCAAACGCAGGCTGGAGAACCACCTCTGCAGGCGGCGCATATGCAGTAACCCCTGCAGGACCACAATGTGAGCAGCCGTCATGAGACTCAAAGTCTGCATGGCAGTTAAAGCTGTCACTGTCGCCCTCTGTCGCAGCCTGTGAACCGCCCGGAGAAGGGACGCACTTCTGCTCCCTGACAGGGTGGCGCGTAGAGCGCCTACATCGAACACCACTCCCAACTACAACGCCTGTTGGTGAGGTATGGGGGTGCTCTTTTTTCGCAAAGCCTAATTTGGTTAGGTGTGTGATCAATTGTGCTGTGCAAAGCATTGCCTGTTCCCTGGACCCGGCCATGACTATGAGGTCTTCTGGGTAAAATAAAAACTCTCATGCCGTGGGCGCGCAGCGGTTGAAGCGCAGTGGTCACACATTTACTGAACGTGTATGGGGATAGGGAGTAGCCAAACGGTACTCTGTTGTACTCGTAGGCTATCCCCATGAAGGCCAAACGCAGACACTTTCTGTGCTCCGGAGCAATTTCCACATGAAAGTATGCGTCTTTCAGGTCGATGGTGGTCAACCAATCGCCCGGTTTGCACGAGCCCCATTAACTGTTTTTATAGTTAACATGCAGAATTTTCTGCAGGCAATGTAGCGATTCGGGCTGCTGGATCTAGATCAGATCTGAATTCCCCTGTCTTCCTGAGAACCAGGAAGTACATGGAATAAAGACCATTTTCTCTGTGCTGAGGGTGCACAACAGACACAGCCTGTTTCTGCACCAGAGCCTGAATCTCTGCTGAGAGGAAACCAATCTCCTCCTGGGAAGACAGATTTCCTCTCGCATGCCCATAAAAGGAGGTGGGATGCTGCAAAACTGGAGTGAATAGCCCCGTTTCAGCGTCCTGTCCATCCACTT